AAATATGTCTGCAAGCATAATGTTACTCGTATATCTCTAAAATGTAAATGAAATTCAGCATTCTTGCATCAAGTACCAGCTGTGCTCTTGTAATTTACAGAATTTGTATAAGAGAAAAGGACATTGAGCCGGAATCTATAAAAGAATGCGAACTCGTACGCTTTAAAAGTGTACTGTTGTATAGTAAAATGCTATTTAATAACATTTAATAAATACATTTGGTTGACTCACATTTCATACCTGAAGGATGATCATGTTTGAATGGATCTCGCATTAACGTCCATTCTTCGAAAACCCTTTAAACCCTTGTCGCAAACTACTCAGAGAGTACGATAAACATGAGTTTCGTTGTCTTACAGTATGATTAATGCATATACCCACACTGAGACCCTGTCACTGCGAATTATTTTGAATGTCAGCTACTATGCAGCGCTAATGGCATGAAACAACTAATCGAAAAAATCTTTGGCGTCATTCAGTAATGAACGTTCTAATGTAACATATTTACCTTTTCCACTTCCCTCTATATCTCATCTGCAGTTATCAGAATTAATAATGGTCGGTGGTAGTATATCTTCATCATCGTTTATTCTTTTTGTTCTCCTCTGCCTTTCTCATCGCTTAAATTGACTTTTTCTCTTTGCCTTGTGGCGTTTGCAGAGCGAGCGCATTTGCACAGAACGGAGCGTCATTAATTGCGTTAATGCATCCGACGGCATTGCCCGCCTCCAATCCCCTGCTTTCTAAGATATTCACCCTCCCACCCCCTTTTTTCTCTTTGAAGGAGGAAGAAGTCGCCTTTTCCAGGCGAAATTTACGTATGAACATACCTATAAACCCCACTTCCAACATACCAGTTACAGTTTTATGTAAAAAAATACTTATTTGAGGGAGTTCTTACAAGAACCAAACAAATCCAAAATTCAATATTTTGAGATATTTCACCAAGTTGCTCCCTACAACTGGCGATATCTTCTGGGTCATTATCTGTCGGCAAGTTACAAACACATTGACAGATAAAAGGCAAGGAAAATCATAAATTCATTCATGCAGGCTACGAAGTTTTTGGCGCCTTCTGAAAAATCTCGACTTTGAACTACTTTGGATCTTGTAAGAAGATCTTAAATTTCCATGTGATGTATTTATAATCTCTTCGCAAAACCCATAATCATATTTTTTATTCCTGTTTTGTATATTTCTCAAGTTTAAATTCGCATCTATGTGCAACACTGGAAGTAAGATGGATTTTCATTAGTAACAGAGACTCGAGTAATGAATGGCAAAATGATGATTACTTTCATTCCAACACTTGGTATGAGAAGATTTTATGAGAAATTTTGAGAAATATGATTAGTCATCCGACACGTATTAAGTTAAACTAAATTTTAGTGTACTATAATTCCGGATAAAGCAATAAAACTGTCCGTATGTTCTCTCAACGACTCCCATGCCTGGCCTGTTATTCAGATGCGATACCAATCGCTTCTCGCGGAGGAGACCCGCTCCAGGGAGAATGAAGAGGCGGGGGGGGAGGGGTTATCTGCGCTGAGTGGAGCACAAAGGCAGCGCCCCCTGGCAGAGGCTCTGCCAAGGCGAAGACATCCCCCACCCCACCCCTCCCCGCCCCTAGGGGTCCGTCACCCGCGACGCGATGACTCACCCGCCGCCGCCGCCCCCCCCTTCCCGCCTACCACCTCGTTATCCTCTCGCGCAAACTCAAGGCGACAGCTGACACCTCGCGCAGTGCATATTTTGCGCCCAAGATGAACCTCAGTGAAGTCAATTATTTGTTGAGACTTCTTAGTTTTTGCTGCGGAAAGCCCTTCGTCTGAAATTAGAAATCTAAATGTGATATACAGCTACTAGATCCTTGAATTGATATAATAAATGACAATTTGAACTTGAAATATATGATTTAAAAAAATCTCAAATACCCATGCAAAATTGTGACAAATACTCGTAATGTAAGGATCAGACTAAAACTATTTAGGAGAAAATGAACTGTTGTATAAGTAATGTATTGCTAACTCTCATTTCCATATCCACAAATTCATAACAGTAGGGTCTGAAGTTTCTCAGATGTCTGGTTACAATATTTTAGCGCGTAACTGCGTCGAACAATGGTTGTTACATCCTTATTTTTTTGTTTCCAGAGGTCTTGTGTGTCGCATATTCGTCCGCCCCCTCACTCCCAAAAACCCACTCCCTCCCCTTCGTTCTCTGGGATCCCCAGCGTTCGCAGCACTAGCGGCGACGCAACGTACGGAGGGGGAATCTTTCCCTGCTGCTTGCTCTCTGGCCCCCGCCTCTCGATGGCGCCTTCCGCCAGCCAGCGCTCCTCAACTTCCAAAACAGGGCCCTGCGAACAGCTGCAAACGCTCCTCGGTACGTAAGTAATAAGAAGATTCTAAATGCAATCGTAGGTGCTCTAGTGACATGTCCAGGCTCTCGGCTGTCCGAGTGACGCTGCATGGAGGGCTTTGATGCCCTATCCTATCGAGGTCTTCTTCAGGCCTGGAAAGCAGTGCTTTTTTTACCCTTCACGAGAAGATTCTACTTATCCAAACAACCCAGCCACAAATAAATCAGGAACATGTTTCATAATCTACTCAGTTTCCGGTTCCTCCCTATTCAACATACGTAGGTGTAGACCAATCTGCAGAACCCTCAATATGAAATGGGCCCCACATCTTTCTCTGCAGTCTGGCAGAAATAATATAATGCCACCAATAATCCTCCTATCAACAGTTCACAAATATTTTATTTATACTTTTAAGGGGTTTGTCATAACCACTCCACACCTAATGTATGAAACGACTCACTCCTAACAACGGAAAAGTCACATGGCTGAGCGTTGTATTTTCATCAAGTTTTTGCAATAACTCAAAGGCAACCATCCCATCATGTTTATGGTCATGCGTGAACATTAAAATCCAAGGCATAAGATCACAACATAGACTGCGCATGGGACGTTATACTATCACCCTCTCTTACCTCTGTGATTAAGGAAAATAGGTGGAGGAATAGTGAAACTCTAATTCGAAAGGTTCTCGAAGTCCCCAAATCGCGTATCTCTCGATCTCTTTGAGTTGGGTCAATTACTTGAATAATGATGATATGATGATGATAATAATAATAATAATAATAATAATAATAATAATAATTGGATAACAATCCATGAGGAGAGCTGTTAACATGGAATTGAATTTGTTCCATAAAGAAAACAGTATATAACAAAACAGTCAACACACTCTAGTTGCTTACAATAACACACTATAACAAACTATATTTCATGAAAAATTAGAAACTTAATGTTTTTTTAAGGTATGTTCTGTGTATGTAGTGATTTCACAGACATGAAAAACACTTGAAAGATCAGAGAAGGCCATGGAGAAGATAAAAATAATATTTCAGAATGTAAATAAGAATGAACTAAACAAGCTTCAGTTTTTGCTTTCGTTTGATGAACAATTTGACCCGTTTCTAAATTTATTCCTAATTAGCAAACAGAATACAATTCCATATTAGAAATTAGAATTATGTTTTAGCAATCTTCATAACATTCAGAGTAGACTACGCAAACGTGACACTTCCTGCAGCGGCGTGTGCCAACAGATCCACTTTTCTTCAATCGAGATGGCATTGTCCGTACGTTTCATTTTGTACGAAACAATTAATTGTCAATTTCGCTTTGTAAAAACATTTCCGCCGAGGAAATGGGACGTCTCGTCGTATAAGAATTGAAGTGAAGTGAAGTGCGTCGCTGCAAGAGCGCAATCGCGGGGTGCACGCGCGCAGTGACGTGGCCCCCCCCTGCCGAGGGCCCGCGGTCCCCTGGCGGCCTCCGCCCCCCTCGCGACGCGCCCCCTGCCGTCTCCTGGGGGCCCGACATCTGGCGGCTGATAGGCCGGCGATTTACAGGCGGATGCCGACGCCGACGCCGCCGCCGACGCCGGGTGACCCGAGAGCCAGCAATCACCCGGCCTCGGCATCGGCCTCCCCGTAACTTTTCGAGGCTGTCGCGAGGCCGGGACCGGGTTTAGGGGGCGTGGCGCTCTGCGCGTTACACCGATCTCTCCCAAGGCCTCATTCACAATGCAAACAATGAGTTATTGAGCGACACCGTTCGTAAACGCTTTGACGTAACCCTTAACGTCAATCCGTAACCTTAAGAATTGACAAGCACCAAGCTTTTACGTTTAGTTTATGTCCGAATTCTACCGAAGACCAATGAAAGGAATTAATGCATAACAAAATCCGCAAGAAATAAATGAAAGGTTGATTGCAGATTGTGTTTAGGTAGTTTGCGGCTGTGTCATTTCATTATTCTTATGTAGTGAACTAGTAAGAGAACGGTTTTGATGCGAGTAATGAATTCAAACTAAGAATTTGCGCCATGTAGTTGTGACTTTTTGATACGGCGAATAAAATAATTACGTTCGATGATCGATCAAGTTTTAATACGTTGAATTATGATTGGTTCACACAAAACTTACGTTCCAGCTTTCGTTCCTCATCGTGAATACTTGTTTTTAAAGGAAAAGTTTACTGCTAAGTTTGCATCGTCATTGAGGTCTTATGCAAAGTATGTATGAGTAGTATTATAGTTGAACAATTGTCATTATAATCTACTTGGCTGTCCAGGAGGCGCTGCTACTTTGCCGTTAGGAAGTTCATTGCATGACGGCCGAAATAATGACATCCGCTCCTAGGAAGCGGCATCTCCCGTAAAGTCAAGTATATTCTGGCTCCAGCCGCGGTAGCCTAAGCAATAACCTTCATTGTTATTGCTAAAATAAAGCAGTTGTTTCTTAATATTACAGTATAGATCTTTAGAATATTTTTCATTTCAATAAAAACACCTAGTATTATAGTTCGTTATTGGTCCCTACAATTGCAATTGGCAAGGACCAATCAGACTCATGTAGGTAAATCTTGCCATAAAACACTGCTCTGAGTACAGCAGCAGTAATGGCTGGCTGTTGTTTTTTTTTGTAGGTGAGGTGCGAAAGAATGGAACAGGGCGATACGATGACAGTGTGAGATTACGTGACTGCGAGACTGCGAGACTTCGAGACTGCGAGGCTGCGAGACTGCGAGGCTGCGAGGCTGCGAGGCTGCGAGACTGCGAGACTGCGAGACTGCGAGACTGCGAGACTGCGAGTGTGCGAGTGTGCGAGAGCGCGAGTCGGCGAGTCGGCGAGTCGGCGGCGAGAGGGCGAGACGCTTCTCGGTGGGCGTAAGCGGTGCTCGCCGGCTATCGGCGCTTCCAGGTCAGTGCGCGGCCGCGGTCGAGCTCCGGTGCTCCCGATACCGCTCCCCTACTCTTCTACCCCTCCGCTCTTGGCTGCGGGCAGGGCGCGTGGATGCCTGCCGATAGTTGGGGTAGCGTGGTCTGTGTGGTCGCGTCGGACCATGGGCTACTGTTCATATTCAGAGGTATTATATTTCAAATAACCTATTTATTAGCCTTGACCACGATGCACTATTTGACTTTGTAAAAACGTATGTAGATAGTTATTTCATTAATATTTCATAATAAAATTCAGGATGTTAGCAGTACGTATTTGGTATACGCAGTTGTATCAGTGGCACGAGAAGTGAGAAGCGGAACTACTAGAAATTGGAACAAGCAGCGTCTTCAGTACTGTGAGTAATATTTCTGATACTTAATTATTTAAAATACGATTTCACCGAAACGAAATGAACATGAGGACGCCTACTTTCTAATATACCTTCTGAAATAACGGCCGCGATATTGAAGTTAGAGCAGCACAAGACTTGGAATTCAATGAACTGAACCAAGGAGTCACCAGCGTTCCACGTGTGGAATCTAGGGGAACTGGACAAACGACTGGAAACTCTGTCTGTGAGAGAAGGCAATGAAAATATGTAAAATGTAAAGTTCAAAGTGTGCGTTGTCCCGCTAACAAGTTATTCGACACCTTACAAGCGAAAAAAAGCTTTCAGAAAGTTAATTAACCAATAAACTAAATCCATTAGTAATAGAAAATAGTGTATATATTCGACATTTGTTTCATTTTGCAGATAAAATTTCAAAAACAATTTTCATTGAATAGATTCTCAGTTACGTTGATGCAACTGGATGGGTGTTGATTCACCCCACGAGGAAAGAGGTTAAACTACTTATCCCGTAGGCACCATGATTATAAACACCCTCACCAACGTTATTAATACGCGTTCCATTGCATCAGACGCGACAGTTTTTCTGCGAAATACAATCTAAATATTGTAGGCCACCCGTTCATGAACAAATGTGTGCCTCATGGTTTTACGAAGAAAATATTCATACAAATTATAAATCATTATAATATTTAATTTATTTTTGTGCTTTTCTTAACTATTTGCATAGAGGTTCTTTTAAAGTTAAGTATTTCCTCACCATCTTTGCAGTACGGTTTTTAATATTTGGCGTTTGTATCGCAGCTCCTCGAGAACCGTCTATCCCTGGCCTGTAATGACGTCACTGCGCTATCCGTGGGAGGTGGGGGAGGCGTCGTCGGCCTCTTCCGGCGTCCGAGGCTCGCGCACGCCCCGCGCTTATGGTTATTGAAAGCGGCAGCGCGAAGCGCCATGCAGATGCGCGAGAAGCGGACGGGACGGAGTGAAGCGAGGGCGAATTGGTCGGCGGCCGTAAGCAGGCGCTGGGACCGCTCGGTCACGACCGCCGCCCCTCCTCACCCAGCCTCGCGCCGACCATCCTCATCTCACGCCGCCTCCAAACCGACCCGAACTACCTCCGCCCTTTCCCGCCCCTCCCCGTCCCTCACTCCACGCCATTCCTCAGCCCCCATCACAGTCCGTTATCTTCCGCAATGCTCTTCACCCCCCACTACGACCCCATCACACGCCCACCCCCACAAACCGCCGCTTCCCTCCGCCCCCGGCTCCGAAACCCGTCCCTCCCCCTGCCACGCCCCACACGCCCCGCCCCGCCCGCCACGCACCCACGCCACGCCACGCCACGCCACGCCACGCTCCGCCACGCTCCCACGCCCGCCACGCCACGCCACGCTCCCCACGCTCCGCCACGCCCCGCCACGCCACGCAGCCCGCACGCCCCACCCCACCACGCCCCACCACGCCAGCCCCGCCCGGCACGCCCCACCACGCCCGCCCCGCCGCCCCGCCCCGCCCCGCCCGCCCCACTCACACGCCCTGCTCCGCTCCGTCCCACCCTGTCCCGTTCTTCGCCGCTCTGCTCCGCCTTGCACTTCGTTCCGAACCGCTGCTCCTCGCCCTGCTCAACGCTTTTCCCCTCACCCCGCCCCGCTCTGCATTACCTCGCCCAGCCCCACTCGCCTCGGTCCGTTCTCCTTGCTCCCTCGCGTCAACCTCGCCCTTCAACGGTAATGCCTCCCCCTCGCGGCGCTCCCACTCCGGCCGCCGCTCGTTCCGCGTAAGGGCTCGCCCTTGGGCCCAGGCTCTCCGCGAGGCGCCGCGCGGCCTTCGCCTCGACCTCACCTACGGAGCCCTTTCATCCGCGCGCGTTTCTTTTTACGCTCTGCCGGGCGGCCTTCACTTTGGTACCGGCAGGCTCACCCTTTCGCTCCAGCTAATGCCCTCCACCCGCGCCGGCCCTCGTTCTCACGGCAGCACCTCCCGATGGTCTCGATTAGGATGGCCCTTCACGACCACTCCGAATGTCAGTCCTCATTCAGGCCGCTTTCTAGTTCCACTTCCGTACGTTCAGATGAGTTGTATGAATCTCATTCATACGGTCGTTTCAGAGGTTTACCAGTATTTCGATCCCTCTTGTCCCTTCAGATACTCCTGTTTATTTACAATCAAAATGTCGATTTTTCTGCCCACCCTTCGAAAAAAGATGTTTTTTTTCACACAGTTTTTTCAACATCTTCGCATATCTGTAGGGCAGAATTGGTCAACTAGCGGCCCGCGGTGTCATATATTGGGACTCGACAAAGGTTATTTGTCAAAAATTTAACTCCCTTGCATCCACGTCGACTCAACTTTGCGCGCCTAGCGCACGCTCCCTGTCGAAGTCATCGCCTCAATGAATAATTGAATAAGTCCAGATTTAATATTTTTTCTAGTAAATTCAGACCAACAAGTTTTCCTACATTATAGATGATACGGCCTGATATCACACATGGTTCCATCATCCCCCAACATCCCCCCTTCACCCCGTTTCAGAGCATTCGGACAAACTTCTGAAATAGACAGTCCGAGGTAGTTGTAGACCGCCCGAGTAATTGACCCGCAACTATGTTAAAGGTTTTAGTTGCGGAGGCCTTCCAAGTTGGACACCCCTGCTCCAGGGAAACATTGCTGGCCAATCTATTCACACGATCCGCACTGCTGTTTCCAACCTACCAGTTTAAAAGACTTTTTAATTCTCACATTAAGACATCTTCCTTCTCCCCTTTTAAAGACAACATAAAAATTGTCTATTTATGAGTTCATTTTTCCCGCCTCCCCCCCCTCCGACCATACGCGTTTGTGCGCTGGTTCCTGGCAGGTCCGTCGCCCCCCCCCCCCAACGCCCCGTCGTGCAAGGGGGAAGGTGGAGGTGGGGGCACGCGCCATGCAGACGGGCCCCCAATAAGCGACGCGTCGCCCCGCGCGGAATGAAATCAAGGGGCGTATTATGATTCCGCTCTCCGGGGTCCCACGGCGCGCCCAGGCACGCACGGCCCTCCCCGCGCCTTCCCTGTTACTCGGGTCGGTCTGCCCGGTTCCGCCCCTCGCTTGGCGTCCGCTCTTCTTCCTCCAGTGTTTTTTACCTCCTTGAAATGTAGTTTGCGCATTCGAAAATATTTAGATATTTAAAATTATAGTAATGTCATGTTTAATTTTTGCGATTGCTAGAAGGATGTAAAAACATAAGAAATTTGTTGATACGTGGACTTGGATTTCCCGAGTTGCGGGTGATACTAACAATATGTTGTGAAGTTCTGTAATTTATGTATTTTACCAATGCTGGTAGTGGTGAGGGCTTGGCTGATGCATTATGGCTTGCGCGAACCAATGATTGAGAGGCAGTGGCCGGTACTCTACGGTGGGGACGGTTAGGTGATGGAAATTTGCCTCATATGTTTGACAACTCCCGGTTTGTGCTGCCTACCAATATCTAATTCGTTTCTCGACAGCTCTGATGACTGTTCCCTAACCCCTTCTAGGCAAATTCCAAAACATTACCTTGGAATGTGGGCGAGGGACTGCGCACAATCCTTCGTTTTCTGTCATCTACTCATTCCCAAACTTACGGCAGAGCTACGTGCCGATGCTATCCTCGCATGATCCATTTTATTCTTCTAGAAAATCTCCAAGTGTCAGAGATTATGATTTGCTTTCAGCAGTGTTGGTATTACTTTTGCTTCAATTTTCTAATTTTCTGTGCATTTTTTGTATTCTATTTATATTTTTCACATTTTATTATATTTTTTCGTTTATACATGTCTCGTTGATTTTGAAAGGATGAAAATGCATGTTAAAGGGAAAAGTGAGCGGCTATCATGATGGAATTCAAATGAATGTTGTTTTTTCTTGTCTTAACGTTTTCGGCTCATGTGTCAAAGTTTAGAAAGTTCATCGTTAGCTACCGTAAATCCCGATAATCCTTTAAAGAGTGTTTGAGTGCTTTATGTGGGTTTTCATGAAATGACAAATGTACAATTCATAAGTATAAAAATGTTTTTAAACAGACTCTAGTAGAGCATTAAAAGCGTGCTTAAAATTCAGTTTTTTAACACTAGCGCTAAAAGTGAGACGATGCTCAAATGTTCTGGTAAACCTATGAATGCAACATAGAAAACAAAACACTTTCGTCTGACAGCATTGGCTACTATGTTCCATGATGTATCATACTAATCAATGAAGTTATGTGTGTATTTTAAAATGAAAGTCAGTGAGGCTATTTAAAAAATTGTGTTTGACTCAGGCGGTAAAAGTGATTTTATTTTGTTCCTACGATTGCGCCAGTTAGCCTTACCAGCCTCGTATCGCACTTTACTACTCACAAAATAAAATGTCACTTTTACTACTCGTATCATAAATAACTATTAAATAATAAGCTAATATCATCTGGACTTCATAGACATCAGAAAGTGACATATTCATCATAACATTAGTGGTTCCATCACAAAACAAGCAAACGTATGTCACTATATGCAAAAAAATATTATTAATTACATGGTCAGCAAAACCTGATATATATTAGAGATCAATTATGAGCTGTTTTGTTCTAATTAATTGTATTTGTGTATTTGCACTGTCCACGTGTCGAGCGGTTCTTCAAATACAAAAAGTTTTGGCACAAATGTAAACTCTCCCTTCCCGACTGAAAATTCGTTTAGATAACTTCAATAAAGAGGATATCGTAAGTTGTGAAGACTTCATCATTATATTCAATTCCATGTTGACTACAAATTGGAGGTACAAATTGGAACATCTTCCTTTTTTTGGAAAAGACATTTCCTTTTTCGTGAAGTGAAAATACAGTACATAAAGAAAATGCAAAGCATATATGACAGATGTGGCGTGGATCGGCGTAAATCGTGTTTTCATCATTGATATGTGTCAAATAAAGAGTCCTCGCAGAACCGGACTCAAAAAATTTAAGCATATGCGGTTATGCGGTTAAGGTTATGCGAGACAAAACAAAACCT